AACCCACGCGCAGAGTTTTGCTAGTTCTCAGGGATACATACACAATACACATCCAAGTCAATTTATCACCATAGGGCCACAACCACATGCGGGGTATTAATTACAGGTGCCAGCAGTTCACTATCAACCGCCATGTGGCTGAGTCGGCAACTCAACTCCGCAAGCCTCTACAGGTAGTTGGTGCGACTGCAGCCAGGGCAGTTATTAGAGGCTCCAACCTGTCATTCAGGCCATATCCCTGTGGCTAGCAGTTGCTACGCTCTCACTCCCACACATCCTGGCGACGGCTTGCGGAGGCGCGTCACCTTCCAGCAATAAACTCCTAAGACCGGTCTGCGTCGTCTGCTGCAGACCGCAAGACGTCGTGCGTAACATCTAAGTATAGTTCCAACCATGGGCTTTGGAGCCGGCAAACTGACTTCTGCCGAAGAGCCGTCGCAAAGCGGCGACGACGAGGCAGCTCCTGGCAGGCTCGCCGAAATACTCGAGCTCCTTGAATGGGACGAAGTCACTGCCAACAGAAGACTTGTAAAAAAAGAAAAGAGAAAGAGACAAGAAAAAGAGAGGGAAAAGAAAAGCGAACTTTAGTCTTGGCGACGCTTCACGAAGATGTGATTGTAGCTGATTTTACTGCCGTGGCTTCTAGCGTCAACTGACGATCCGGGCTGACCAGCAGCGCGTCAAGCTAATTCGTACACGTGCGTGAGCAACTTATTGGTCATGTTATCTCTCGCCCGGGGGATGCTATTTTACAGGGCGTGCTAGGGAGTTAACTGACGAAGGCGAAATACGGCGCGAGTTCGCCTTGTCAGTGCGCCTCGACCTGCTGGTCTATATTACATGGTGGGTCTGGTGTTGACTACACTGTGGCTAGCTACCGGTCACTGCCTAGTATGCCGAAGGGCTGGCTTTGAGCTGACAAAGTCGACAGGCTTCCGAGCCAGCTGCAAGACGGTCTTCTGAAAATCAAGGCATCTACTTGTCTAAACAATAACTTCTTGACGTCTAACAACGGAATAATCGGTGTTTACAGACGAAATATGCGGAAACTTCGTCCCCTTTGAGAAGATGATCGGAAACTCGATATCTGAGACTACGACTTTTACCACGAAGAGGTGTGGTGAGCACTGGGCGACATAAAGTGGATTTGGATGAAATCAGTTTTACCGTAGGAGCCGCAGAGACATAAAAGTGTTCAGAAGTGTTCATTTTCAGTGTATAAAGACGGTGTTGGCTCTAATGAATAAATGTTGAGACAGCAGATTACGCCCAAAAGAATACAGGCCATACGTTACTACAGCAGCAGTGATAGGGGACTCCTCATTTATGACTGCTTATGCTTTGTCCTGGTTGTCTAGGTCCAGCGTAACGTATGTCCCACCCTTTTCAGCCACCACTACTCAGCCTGGCTAATACTCAGCGCCGTCACGTGAGCTTTCCTACGCGATTTGTGAAATGAGATTGAAACAGCTCTATTAGTGCACAGCCGAACCACCGTAGCTTTGCATGCTGAATCCAATTTTGGTCACGGCTGTGCAGAATTCTTTCCATCTTTACTGTTCGCTTTGAGCCACTTCGCAACGACAGCCAAAACTCAGGATCTTCTGGCTTAATGCGGGGTAAATAGCTGAGGGCAAGTCCGACGGAAGCGGTCGATTCGGCGGGTCGCAATCCTGCTCTGGTCCGGTTACTGGGCTTGGGTTCCCTTTGCCACGCGCTCGTCTAAGCTTGATAGCCGTGACCGTCTCGTCGTAGAATCTAGTGAAAGGCATTACCGACAATGAAGCCGCTTCCAATGTCGACCTTCTACTTGCAAAGGGCATTTGGCGTTGTATCTCGTCGATCATGGCTCCGTTGCTACCGTCACTCATGGATACTTCTCTCATTCGCTGGTCAAGCCGCTGCCAAAACACCGTGTGTCTCTCTCCAGCGTGGCATGTGTATTCAACGCCTTCCCCTATAGCTTCTAGGGCACTTTCATGAAGCTCTCGCCAGGGCTTCGACCTGCCCACAGGCTTAGCAGAGCTCGGCACACGGCAATACTCCTGCCAATCCGAGACCGACAGATAGTGATTCGTCCTCTCTTGAAGACAAACGGCCAAAACATGCAAATCGCTCATGGTGTGCGAAATTGCTGTTAGGAAGGATGAGCTTCGATCCACCTCTCTGTCAGGGAAGCCTATCTTACAAAGGATCGGGCCGTTCCCCATTACCGCCTCCACGAGCTTGTGACCAACAAGTCCAAGACAGTTTTCCGGAGCCGGCTCGAGGACTTCGAAAGTTTCCATCCTTTCTTTGAATACGGTTAAGGACTCATTGTACAAAAATGCTAAAAGTTAGCACCTGTCTTCCTCAGTTACTGAAGACGCTTGCATGGAAATGCCAAGGTGCTAATGCAAATGATTAAAAGTGTCGCTACGACCAAAACGCGTGCGTGAAAGACATCTTTGAGACGCCCTTACTAACGCAAAATCCCTTCAGGCGATCGCTCCATGCATCAGCATCTTGTCGAAGCAGCCGCAGATTGTCTCGCGCCTCTGTGACTGATACCGTGACCAAGTCTTGTACGGCTCGCACGTGTCTACGTGCGGAGCAAGTCCAAGACATGGCAGACGAGAAGAATGGAAGAGCAAGGACAGACACTCTTCATCGTTTTCTTGGCTTCGGGTCGACGACTGAAGAGTTGCTCCGAGATGTAGCTGGGTCTTCACCGTGGCCACGTCTTTCCCGAGAAGGTTGTAGGTGTGATTCTGTGCTTGCAGCTGCCAGAACAGGATACTGGGAGACGTGGACATTCAGTTGAACACTGCCGTCTAGGCTTGGGTTCATTGCTGGCTCGATAGGTCGTAGACGGCATCGCCATAAACCCAAATAGTCGGTGTTGAATCAGAGAAAGCAGGGACAAATCCGCACCACCCCTCAATAAAGACCGGGATGACATGCCCTGCCCATATGCCTAAGCGCAGCTAGTTTCCGTCGACGAGACGAAAGTCTTTTGGGCGCATCTTGGACCGTGGCTCAAGGAATAGTGGCAAGTTGTCGCCTTTGGAGAGGTCGTTATGATTGAGTGCTGAACAGTAGTACGGTCTGGCCCGGTCGCCGTGGCCTTTGATGCCTAGTGCCCAAGCACGAATGTCAGGATTGGGATGGCCGGGTAGCTCGGGAAAGCAGTCTTCGAGTAGTTTTCTTCTGGCGCTTGATTCCACACTGGCCCAGTCGCTTCAGAAACCGTGAGGTCCTCCTGTCGCAGCCTTTCCCAATTCCCAAAGACTGGGATGCGGCGTGTTGCAGTCCCGTCCCAGAACCTTTCTAGAGGAAGAACCAGTTTCTTCCAGTTCACATGTCACTAAATCTCTTGTAGTCTCGTCTCCCAATGGGGGCCGTACTTCCTTTGAGCCCACTTGAATGTCGGATTCTGCTCCATCTTTCTCCTGATATCGTTCATTTCCACACTGGATAATTCAATCTCGAACATTACGCAGACGCGAGCAGTTGTTCAAGATTGCGGCGCGCGTCACTTGCCCTGACGTCCCTCCAATACGCCGTTTCCATGGCCATCATGTTTCCCATTTGCGTGTCGATCCATTTCGTGTAAGAGTCTGGAAGAGGATCCATCATCGCCGTCGAAGACATAGCTGGAGGTATGAGTCTGTGTGTGAAAGAGAGAGAGGGCGATAGTAAGTTGAGGCATCTTCAAGTCAGAGGTGAAGAGCGCGTTCTCGTCGAGTTAGGCATACCGCCGGACGGAGCTACAGCGTGATCAAGCGCCAATTCAACCTTGCTTATCAGCTACAACGTTTTCCTATACCGAGGTACCAACCACCAGGCGAGGTGCTATCTCACAAGGATCGTAGAATAGTTCAGGGCCGTGGAATCAGCAACGTGCTAGCAGATCCACGTAACCTGCTAGCACCAGACAGCCTTATTCCTTGCGGGATTAGAGCATGCCACTATCACATTCGAGTGGAGGGCGACCCCGCTCACGCCGTGTCACAGTAGCTGCTGCGATGATACGTATTTGGTGCGATTGCGTCTGTGCATGAACAGCAACCGTGAAGGACACTCTTGATCGCCGGGGCGTCAATCATGGAGCATCTGCTGGAGCCGTGGCGGTGTCCAGAATCCTGGAAAAATGGATTGAGAACCAAACCGAACATGTTCTCGCCATCCGTACTGGAAGGCTTGGCTGTTCAGAGCCCGTCTGCTCCCAGTTCATGTCTATGATTTCGGTCAGTTGCCCGCGCATGTCTTACGCATGACGAGTCCACCACCATGTGTTTGTTAGGGTCGGCTCCCAGGCCAACCCTTCCATATCTAGCAATTCTGGTGCCATGCCACCAGTGGGACTAGCTCCCAGTCCATGCTTTCCACAACTGTCAATCTCTGTTCAGCACTGTCTATGACCATCGGCCCTAGGCCTTTATTTCCTGTAGTCAACTCTTGATGTATCGTCTCATCTTGGCCGTCTAATCCCGCTGCGTTTGTATAAGAAGCGGGCCTGACTGAGGCTTTGATTAGTGAAAGTACTGATGTAGTAAGCTTCGCAGACAAGCTGGTCACCCAGGATATCGCGAGGAGAGATGGCCCGTCCGCGCCGGCGCCGCAAGTAGGGCATATATACCTAAGAGAATGTTTCCCGCAGGGCAGGTACATGCGCATACGTAGAACTACTTGTGTTGCCCACTTTCTGCCTGAGGAATATTGCGAAGCCCTCAGACGGTCGCCGTGGTCGCCTACGACCAATCAAACGGGCCAGCAACATCTCGTCAGCCATGAATAAGCTCAGTGTCAAGGAGTCAACCTGTAAACACGACTTCAGTCTTCAGGATCTCTGCTAATCCGCTGCCAGAAGACAGTCTGGATGTGGCGACCGACGACTAACAAATGGTGATGGTGAACCGCGCAGGGGTGCGAAACCCACGATGGCCCACTAACGCAATAGAGCCCCGAGTCGCAAGGTAAGGTAGAAGAAGATTCCTGCTATCGTGAAAGGAACATCCATGAAAGCAGGAAGCGCCACATACTCTTATGGCTTCAAGCGCCCGGTGTGCTGCAAGTTCCATGTCGAAGGCGCGTTCTCCCTCCGACTAGGCCACTATCTCGCAACGGAACACGACGGATTTCCGGTAAGATCCGGCATCAGCAAGTTTGATACAATCAGGAGTTCTAGGGAATGATGCTGGGTGAAGTTTGCGATGAAGAGTGTCGTCGACTGGTTCTGGAAGCGAGTAAACCTTTATTATCCGAAGAAATCTAGCACGTGGCGGAAGACCCGGAGGACGCTAATAAAAGGCCATGTTCGCGGGTGTCTGAGCTGAGGCCTCTGGAGGTAGTCCGGTCAATCACTTGAACAAGCACAAGATTGCTCGCCAATAGGTTGTCGTCCCATATTCGAATCCCACGCACGACCTGCATTAGTCTGTCAGCACTCTGATATAAAAGACCAGCAGACTTCAGTAGACGCATTTCGAAGTTCAAGCCCAAACATCCTAACTGAGCAGCTTCTCCTACTCGAGGCCTCCTTGTTACGATACTCCAGCAATCGCCGACGAACGTGACCATCAGCCCTTAATACACACCCGGGAGCTCCTAAAGCCGATGATTCTGAACCTCAGCCGCCAACTTGCGATTTGACAGCTTACGGTTGTGAAGAGTTGCGGACCGACATATGCATGCTATTCTCCTTAATGTTCATCAGCAAGCTGAGGTTAACTATTCTCAGTCCTATCCAACGCTGATGCAGACATGTTAATAGTATTACTGATGGCGCTAGGAATAACTCAGCGGGCAGAAATATTCTCTGATAGGTTATAGATATGGAATGTAGCCTCATGGTTCAGGACTGTTTTAGAGAATTTCCTCTCTACTCTCCTAGCGCGCTGTCCGATGGCTCATCAGCTTCTCTGTTCTCTACTTCGGCTTCATCTCCGTTCACGAGACGGCCTGCAACTTATACCTCAACAACAATAACACCTCGCCTCTCCCAGACCCGTGACATCCTGGCTGAACACCTTCGCCGTCCACATCTTTTCTGCCCCAAAGAAGACAAACCGCCGCCGCCCACAGCCCGCATCAACGTGTCACTCGAGATCTCCGTCACGCCGACCCTCCCACGCTTCGGCGAGTCCCTCCCGCAACTGGCCGCCTGGGCCGTCCATGGGACTGACTTCGCGCGCCGCATCATCCTCATCCTCGAGGCCGCCTCGCGTACCTTTGACGCGCTCGAGTGCGGCCTTTCGGCGAGCACGGTCGAGAGGGCGTTCAAGCACATGTCACCTGCGGATGGAGCCGGAAGCTCGGCAAGCAGGAGCAGACGCAGCGCAAGCAGCTCGAGTACTTTAGCGGCGGCGGCGGCAACAGCAGCGACAGCAAGGAGGTTGAGGAGGTTGCGCGGGGATGTGTTCAAGGCGCTGGAGAGCGTCGTTCCACGCTCAGCCGTGACGACGATCCGGTGCCGCGCGACGCAGGCCGAGATGGATCAGCTTCGCGGCCTGAGGGGGAGAGTGCAGAGGGTGTTGGTGCCGAGGACGACGGAGCTGCTGAGGGCGTCGCAGGTATTGGCGGCAGAGGCGAGGGTCGAGGGGCCTAGCAGGCGGACGTGGCCCGCTGGGAGGAGGAGGTTGTTCAGTTTGCGAGGGAGTTTGGGAAGGTGGTTGCGCAGACGTGGAAAGGGTGCGATGGGTAGATTTTCGGGTATGCTTATTCTGCTTATTGGTGAGTGTGCTAGGACTGGAAATTGGCTTCGAGTTGGAATTGCTTCTTCTCGAATGCGTTTGATATCTCGTTTATGCTTTGAAGTTACCGGCTATAATCAAAGACTTGCTTGGGGTCATAATTACTTCTTGACTAAGACAGCGAGTCGTTCTCTCACTCTCCTGTTATTCAGCCTATTGTAATGCAAAGAAACTGGGACGCAGTTCGGGCTCTGAATGCCTGGCGTTCCATGTTCTCTCATCTTAAAGACATTGATGTGTTTCTTACTGAACGAGGAGAAGTGGTTGAAGTGCTTTTGCTGCGTTCCTCCCACTGTGATATCTCTTGCTAGCACAGCTATGAATCCTGCTCAATCGCGATGCATGTAATCTCCGGCTCAAGTGTGCATGTAGCACCGCGATGAGGCATATGTGAGACATATAGGTTAGCTAGTTAACGACTAATCTTAAGGTCTTGATATATAAGAAAACGGATACTCTCTTATCTCAGCTGAATGAGTTTCGGTCCAGGTTCATGGCCTCCTTCGGCTAGCCCGGCCTGAGTGGCAGTCACTGCATCACTCACGTGTATTCAAGCTAAGCTAGCGAGGACCTGTTCTGACGCTGGGTGAGCTGTCTCTCTGAGAGTTATCCTTTAAATCAATAAGCCCCTTTTGAATCTGAAAGTTTCCGTCAGGTGCCGGTCACGAGATGCCTGCTGCTATCACAGCTTTGAGACCAGTGCTGCCGTTCATTATTCCACTTGTTGCCTCTTGCGATGCTGCATTTGATTCTTCCCGGGCTCATCTGGATTCTATCTAAGCGGGTTGTCATCATTAATATATCTCCTAGGATGAGAAGCTCATAGGGTTCGTAAGCATCATCTTATCGGAGGCTGGTCGCGTCTTCACCTGCACCCGCATCATCAGCGCGACCTCCTGCGTTGCCGATGATAATTACTTTCAACCTCTTTCAAATCTTTTCATGTATCCTCTTGTCAGCATGCCGTGTCCCTAGTTCTAAAACTTATAGCCGCCACTATGAAACAAGCTACCAGCGCCGTAGATTCCGGAAATTCGATGCGCACCAGCGTTCCTGAGTCATCTTCTGGCAGTTTATACTAAAACGTCTGCGCTCCTCAGCTCTAAGTCAGCCTCTTATGCATTCCACCAGTTCGTAGGTAGGTAGTAAAGCCACCATCTGGTTCTGCGAATGCACGTATACAGAGCTGCCCAGCTTGTCTGCGTTCGCAACAGAGATCAGCGCTACTAGTGCAATGTTAGCAATCGTGCTGCTGATGTTTCTCTCTGTCTTAGTCGTTAAGATTGAAATAGATATCGAGTTAACGCAACTCTAGACTCAAGATTAAGGGTGTGTGTTCAAACTAACGGGGAATATAGCCGGTTATGTTGTTAATTAAACCAATACAACATCCCAAAGTGATGGAATCTATGTGATTTTCTCAAACAAGGTGGTATTAACTTGAGATGGAGGTTGAGAGCGGGTGTTCTCGAGGCTTTTCAGGGTCTTAAAGATATAGCTAGGACGAGCCTTTTGCTATCCGCAGCTTTCTGAACCTAATGACCTTATGGGGAATTTGAAACTATTATCAGAAAGGTGTCCTAAGGGCCTCTAAAGCCCCTATTCCTCATAGAAGTGACTCTAGAGAACGTCTCCTCCTAAAGTAAACAGCACTACTAACCAACTAAGTCAAATCAAACAAATTAATTAATCAGCTAATCAAATTAAGGCTATTCAGTAAAGTAAATAATTAAGTTATTATTACTATAGATTTAGACGATTTGATTAAGTCAGAGGTTAAGTAGAAGAAATAAAATCTAGCTTCTAAACTAATTATAATTTTTAAAAGATTTATTTTTTTAATTAAAAAAAACAAAAAAGTTAACCTAATATTACAGTCAGCTATCTAATAGTAGGGTCTACTAACAGAAGCTAGGGATTAACACGTTATAACAATACACTAAGGTTATAGTTTAAGTTATAGGTTATAAGCTATAGTAGATCAGGTCTTTTAGAGACTAAGGTGATTAGTCTTAAACTTAATAAGTGATTTATAGTAAAGGTAAACTAAGAGTATCTATAAGGATAAATACTAAGTTAATTACTAAAGAGCTATAGAAGTCTAACCTTAAGCGAGGCTTAGGTTATACTATATATAAGTCCTAAATAGTGTCCTTTATCTACTTTTAAGTAATTACTTAGGTATATAAGTAATTATAATCAGTTAGTAATACTAACTAATTACTAAGCGTTTCTTCTTATACTCTACTAATCGTTCTCTTATTTTATTATTATATAACTTATACTATAGTTCTTCTATTCTAAGTAAGTCCCTATTATTCCCTTTAATTCTATAGTATAAATATTCTATCTTAGCTACTTAACGCCTAAGTAGGTTAGTTAACTATTATTTATATATAATAGGTTATAATATTAGGTCCCCTCTCTAAAGGTTTTACCCTTAAGACCTAATATAAGTAGGTTATTAGTCTTAAGTTAGGGATCTATTAATTATACTTCCTATTTTACTTATAATACTAACACTATATTAGGTTATATTTAGAAATTAAAATTAAGTACTATTTCTACTCTTTATTATTATAATTATATTTTATATATTACTAAGTTTAGTCTAGTTATTAATATACTTTATTCTTATTATTATTCTTTAGGGAAGTATTATAAGCTTCTTCCTAATAATAAAGTTTATAATAAATATACTTATTTAAAGTAGTCCTATAATATAGTAGTAGATATTATTTATACTTATAAGTCTTTATTTTTACTATATTTCCTATTTAGTACTAACTTATCCTAGTTAATTACTTACTAGATAAAGCTACTTATTTAGAGGATATTAAAGTAGCTAAAGAGGAGGTATTAAGAAAGAAAGTAGCTACTTTATATACTATATAGGCTAAGTTAGATAAATCTATAGCGTAGTTAGATTACTTATATAAGTAGAAAAGGATAGTATTTCGAAAAGGTTAGGAAGTTATAAAAGAGGAGCTAGTAATATCTCCTATATTAGAGGTTTAGTCTATAGGTAGTTTTAGCGTTCTAAACTTAGATTTAATTCTCAACTAGAATCTTAATATTCTGAGTTTCTTATTAGTAGTAGCTTCTCTACTTTATACTTTAGTTTGTTATCTTCTATAATAATAAGGTTATTTATTTATAATCCTTATAGTACTAGCTTAAGAAGTGAAATATAAAATACTAAGTAGTATTTTATAGTTTCTAAGAGTTTAAGCTTATAGTTAACTAGTGAGATAACTTATAAGATTTTAAAAGGTTTAAGTTTTTTATAGTTAAGTTTATTACTTAGTTATTTTATTTTGATATTTCACTATATAAAGTAGGCGCTATCTCCCTCTTTTAAGGTTAGTCTCTTAATCCTTTATTTATTACTAAATCTTAATATTTATTATTAGATAAATTTAAGTTTTTTATAAGTATTACCTTAGATATCTTTAATTTATTATACTAAGGTAGTAGCTTTAATTATAGCTAAGCTTACTTAAGGTTCTCTATAAGTAGTTAGTTTAAAGCTATAATTAAGGTAGAAGGGGGATTCCTTAGTACTTTCTTTAATTATGCTATTATAAACGAATTAGGCGATTAGTAAAAGTATAACCTAGTTATCTTAATTATAGTTAATATAAGCGTAGAGGTAAGTTTTAAAGATTTAATTAATTTATTCTATTTATTTATTAGTTTATAGGTAGAATATAGTAGATATTAATTATTTAATACTAAGTTATAATATAATTAACTTTTAGAATTTAGAAGTAAAGATTTTATCTTAGTCTAATATAATTTCCTTAGGTGTTTTATAGTTAGTAATAATATATTTAAGGAAGGTATATATATATTCTTTAGCGTTACTTACTTCTTTATATAGGATAAAATAGGTATACTTTATAAGTTAGTTTATAATAATAAGAATACTATTAAAGTATACTTCTATAAGAGGTTCTTAAGACTTTAGTAATTTAATAATAAAGTTAAAAGATATAGATTACTAAGCAGTTTATAGTATAAATAAAGGTTATAATATACTATAAGGTTAATATTAAGTAGGTTTACTTTTTAGGTATACTTTANTTTAGGTATACCTTATAATCCTTAATTACTTTTACTATATATTCTCTTATAACCTTTTCTTTATATTATTATTATAATTATTTCTAGGTTTTTATAATTCCTTAGTAACTATATATAGGGTGTATATGAAATTCTATAATTACTTTATTATTTAGTTTATTAGTTAGGCTAATACTAAATCGTCTAGCTATTATTAGGAGTTTAGCTATTAGTATTAGGTCTCTATTATTTTATTATTTAAGAATTACTTAGGTTTCTTTAGGTACTAGGATATTATAGTTTAGTTATTAGCTAAGAGCGTTTACTCTACTATTATCTAATCCTTTTTAATAGATTATTTAGAAGTTAAATTTTAAGAGGAATTTTAACTATTAGATTTATTATTTATTAAGTATTTTTAAGGTTATAAAGTATAAAAGATTTTTATAATTAAAGTATATAAGTATTTTATAAATTATTCCTAAGAGTTTAAGTCTCTATTTTTTAAAGGCTTTAATAATTACTATAAGCTCTTTATTATATATCTAGTAGTTAAGTTCTAATTTATAGAGCTTATAAGAGAAGAAAGTATATAAGTATAAGTATCCTTCTAAATCTTATTATAATAATTATATTCTAATTATATAGTTAGACGTATTAAGTTCTATTTTAAACTATTTTATTAGGTTTAGGATAATTAGGATAAGTTTATTAGCGATAAGGTCCTTAATTTTCTAAAACACTATTTATTATAGTTCTTCTTATATAAAGGGTATATCTTTATAGTTAA